AATTCAAGAGTAACACAGTAAGGCCATGTGATCTATTTTCCCACAAACCCAAGATATGGACGCCACTCTTCACAGTAACAAATTCAGATGTGTTTGCATGAGCTGACAGCTTCAGAATTAGAAATTCCCATCACCAGCTTTCTAAAATGTTGCTGAAGACTACATAAGCATACTACTACCATCTCTACCCCAATAAAGTAGTTAGCCTGTTCTCTTGGCGCTATCAGTTGAATATTTAGGCCACTGTAGATGCACAACAAAGGGGCCGCACAGTAGGTGCTAGTGTGGGCAGGTGCAGGTACACACATGTAGGAAACAGAGGGTCAGAGAGTTGATTAAGCACAGAAACTGAGGGATCTATCAGTATTTACAAGGTTAGTCCTTTGTGTTTTTTGTCCTCAAAGAGTTGTACAGTAGGTATGCATGTAGTGGGCTCAAAATCTCATCTGCCCGGCTCTTCTTCTGGACAGTTTAGACCTGATGGGAAGGAGAAAGTCGAATAAATATTGGTATGACAGGTCTTTTAAAGTGAAAGGCTTAGATATCTGCTTTACTGTATACCTGATAGATCCAGCAAGCAGAGGGTTAAAGGCATACAGCCAGTCATGCATCTCCTTGTCATTACTGGCTTGAAGGAGTATCCCACGATGCTCTGTGCATACCGCAAATGTGTAGGGGGTCTGCAGTGAAGACAGAATTGAATTAGTTCAGCCTATAAACAGTCGATTTACTCAAAATGTGTTGCCATGGAAGAGACTGAAATAAATTAAATAATAAAAATGTAAAAAGTTTCACTTTCAGCATGGCCTCCTGGTATTCAAACATGTTCTAAAATAAATAAATAAATAATTGTAGATGTTTCACCTTCAGCATGGCCTGCTGGTCTTCGCTGTACTCCACTTGTGCCGAGGACAGGTTAAGAATGGCCCTTTCCACTGTGTCTCTCTCTGTGTTGTAGATGTAGACATAAGGCCGGCGTACCACCACATACCTCTTAACCCAGTCATTACTGTGGGGCTCCAGGAACTGCAAATAACCTTTCTTTGACACAATTGGGCTGCAATGATAAAATAGGGTACAGGTTAGAGTTAACTTCCAAAGATGCAAATTCCTTAAATCTCAGAAACTGAATTTCATATTCAGGCAAATGTAACATAAAAAGGAATTGCTCATCCTCTGAAAAATAAACAATTTGTACGATCTGTACAATTTTATTTATTTATTTTTTTCACCTGACACGGATTTCCTGAATGTCTGGCACAAAAGTGTGGGATCTTGATTTGGACTCTTGAGGAGACTTCTTGCCCTCTGTTTCAGTGTCAGGGATGGGGCTGACAGCACGAGATCGAGGTGTTGGGGGTCTGCACATATGAGCAATAAGAATATAGATGGAACTTTTAGTTAGATAGCGTTTCATTTGGAGCCATTTTTGGCAGACATATTTAAAGCTGCAGTCCGTAACTTTTATTTATTGAGCCGAAATCAATATTTATGTTAAAACACTCTCCTATCCCACCTTAATATACAGAAACACCTTTAATGTAAGGCATTCATAGGTTGATTCTCAAACTAGCCTGACACATTAGCTTCATCAAAAGCATGAATTTAGGACAGGACTATCTGTTAGTCTGATCAATAGTAGACTAAGGAATGTTGTTTTTGCACTTCCATTTGGTTTGTGTTGCAGATATCACCATTAAAACGTTTTGTTTATTCTTTTAAAACGCAAAACGAAACAGCAGTCACTAAGTACTAACCTGAGTTCAGTGTTGTGGCCGTAGTGTCCCTCCACGAGTGAGGGGCATGTGGAGGACGGGGTGAGGGTGCTTTCTGCACACACTGAGGCCGAGCCTTTCAAAAGAGTTACTGACATCTCGCTTAACTACAAAACATCACAACAGGGTAATCAGTCATTAAACACAGATCACAAACACACACCTTCACAAAAACATTTCTGGAAGTTTCTGCAGCAATAGTAAAAATGCTTAAATGTCTTACATTTTCAGAAACCTAAAGGTTTTTAAAGCAGTATATTCTCAGCGGTGTGAGCTCTTAAAATCATCTTATTGTAGCAGTGATAGCTGACAGAAAGAAAAAGGGTAAAATATTCTTAATAGTATTTTCACCTTGCTCTCGCTGGCGCTAACACACACATGGCTGTAGTCCCTGTTAAAGGTGTGGTTAAGCAAACGCAAACACTGTTGGGACAAACAGAAAAGGGAATGTTAAATTCAATGACAAGAACGTTTTTCTCATGATTTCCTGAAGTGATCACTGTATATGAATTATTTTGAACATTACAGCAATTTATAGTATTAGATAAAACTATAACTACCACTATAAAAATGGTTTGGTGACAATGACGATACGAGCTGTAAAAATGTATTTAATCTTTTATAAGACAATTCTATTCTATTCTATTCTATTCATATATTTAATTTCATATAATATATAAAATTATAATCTTATAACATTAAATTCTAAATATAATAAAATTAAATAACTATTAAATTTGTAAAAATATTGTAATAGTAAATATATAAAATATATTAAATTATATATAAAGTAATAATAATAATAATGTGTGTGTGTGTGTGCATGTTTATGTGGTTTATGAGGACACAAATTTGTATAATAACATGGGTATGACATAGGTATTACAACGAGAAGGTGATTTATGAGGACATTTTCAGTGTCTCAGTAATTCAAAAGGCTTATAAATAATTCAGAATGAGTTTTTTTTTTAAATCTAAAAATGCAGAAAGTTTCCTGTGAGGGGTAGGTTTAGGGGTAGGGTTGGTGTAGGGCAATAGAATGTACGGTTTGTACAGTATAAAAACCATTACGCCTATGGAGAGTCTCCATAAACCATAAAAACAAACCTGTGTGTGTGTGTGTGTGTGTGTGTGTGTGTGTGTGTGTGTGTAAAAAATTATTTTAAAAACTGGATGGCCCAGGCTATAAAATATAATCATTTATATATAATATATCAGTGATCCTCAAATCTGGCTCGCAAGATCCACTTTCCTGCAGAGTTTAGCTCTAACTCTAATCAAACACACCTGAGTTTGCTAATCAATGTCTTCAGGATCATTAGAAAATCACAGGTAGGTGAGTTTGATCAGGGTTGGAGCTAAATTCTGCAGCGCATTGGTCCTCCAGGGCAAGATTTGAGGAAACCTGCCCTAGACTCTCACCAGGACTACTGACCTTGACTACAGAAAGAAGCATTATTTACACCGCATTTGCTGATTAAACTTGAAACGAGAGACAGCAGAGAGATAAAAAGAACAAAATATCGAAGTCTTCTACAAAGCGTGTGAAAAAATGAAGGGGCCTGTGCTCATAAGTTATCCGAGGCCTTGCATTTGAGTGACTGAGTGATTAACTTCTCCATGCTTAAAAATCTAACCCTTACATGTACTGCATGACCTCATTTGGGCAGTGACCTTCTTGAAACCTTTGTCCTTCTCCACTAATTCCTCTGTCATAAGCCTCATATATTGAGTATAAAAAAAGCTAAAGAGTACATCAAATAAAAATATTGATTTACACACTTAATTTATGCATGTCAAAAGCAAAATGTGGCCGGGCTTTCAGCTGTTTAGAGCGGACCGCGACGCAGAATCAACGGGGAAATGCTTTTACATCAATGAGAGGTGGTGTACAGATGTAACTGTGTTAAAGAAGATGTGCTGTTCAGATCTAGAAGTGCCCTTCATTAATTGCAAGCCGTTCTATTCGCCGCGGGAGTTTTGCTCGTTCATTCTCGTAAGTGTGTACATTCCTCCGCAAGCACACGTGAGCACCGCTTTACAGAAACTCGCTGATCTGATCCCAGATACAGAACAACAACACCCGGACTCTGTTTTAATCATTCTCGGGCACTTTAATAAAGCAAATCTCTCCCATGAACAGCCAAAATACAGACAGCACATCACATGTCACACCAGAGACAGTAATATATTGGATCACTGTTACACCACAATAAAGAATGCATATCACTCTGT